TCCCTTATTTGCCCATTCTTGACGAACGTAGCTCTTGGTCTGTAGCGATGCTGACCAGTTAATGGTTCCACCACCGCCCCAAACCGAGCCCGAGATGACGGCAACCGAGCCATCATCAGAAATACTGGTGCCTCCATTTTCGAACAAATTCAATGCTCCTTCCTTCATTGTCATGGGGAAGTGCTTCTCCGACCAATAATAAGATTTTTCAACCACAATTACATTGTGGCCTGCTTCCGCAATGTTTTTCGCCGCTACAGCTGCACCGCAACCGCTACCGATGATGACTACATCAGTCATGATAGCTTCGGTATTGTCACCAGGAGGGAATTGCATAAATTCGTAGGGGTAACCTTCCACAGGAGTGAAATTGACAGGTACCCTGGGGAAGCCGATAATAGCGGGGAGGGTTGGGCTTAAGGGGACCCATGCTTTGTGGAAGAGTGCAATCAGCGAACGGTATAAGCTGCGGATGGGTGGAAGAACTGAAGTAGCCCAGCCTCGAAAAATTGCTTCGCGAACAGGATAAGGCTGACACTGGATAGGGGCTGCGTATCCAGTCAAGGCGAGAGCCACAGGACGACTATTGAGGGCGTTGAGGATGACGCTGATACCTCGCCTCGCCTCATCTGGGAGTTGTTGACCGAGCACACGACACATGCTCTCTTTGAATTCGGGGACAGAAGAAGCATTTTCGGCGAGAAATTGAACGGCGATGTCGGAGTGCGCAAAGTCATTCTGAACGGACTGAAGGGTATGAGTTGCAAGTGCAAACTCAGCATCACTGATCGTACAAGCACCCGGACACACGGCGGCGCTTCTTGGTCTGATGGAGGGGATAACAGTATCTGCCAGGGCCAGAAGCGTTTTCCATTGTAACGGGGTTAGAACAGTACTAGCGTCGGGAGCCGGAGGCAAAGGACTTTCCAATATTTCAACATTGGTAGACGTCAACGGAGAAACCATAGCGATCAGTTAGCGATCAATGCGAATGCTAGCTACACAGAAATATGATACCAGAAGCAATGGTTTAGTAAAAGTAACGAAAAAAAAACGACGAGCCGGACCTGGGGGGGCCACCAAACAGCGTGCCCGTGGGTTTTGCTAGATGGGGTGCCGGCTAGTAATGGGATTGCTTGCTTTGCGTATGATGAAAGAAAAACCAGGGGGCTCAAGAAGAGCAGCAAACAGGGAATGACAGTAGCTTCCCAACTTGGCGGCGGGCAGTAAGATAGGGAGAGTGAGGAAGAAGATATACAAGTTGTAACTCTGGTGGCAGATGATGCTGCCTGGCTCTAGGGAGATAAACGAATGACGAAGAATGACGGGTAGAAAGAGGACAAGCGTGTGGAGAGGAAGAAGAAGAAGAAGAAGAAGAAGAAGGGCAAATGATAGAGGAGGATTTATTTGTTGTTATTGTTGCTCTTTGTCTGCGAGCAGCGGAAAGAGGAAAGGGGCAGAGGGGAAGGAAGGGTCTGCAACTGGAGGAGCGGCAGTCGCGAAGGAACAAAATGTCCACGCGCCGCGCCGCACCGCACAGCGCAATGCAAAAGATCGGGAACGAAGATATGGCGCGGGGGATTCCTCTAGCTATCGCCTTGCTGCGGATTGTGTGGTCGTGGGTGGTCTTGTGCGATGTGCGCTGTTGTGCTGTGTGCTGTGTGCTGTGTGCTGTGGATAAACCACCAAGGGATTCAGATCACAACACAAACGTGCCAGGCAGACGGACAAAACACCGTTTTTGAGAGCGGGCACACTTCTGCCTTTCTTGGTGGTGAAATGCTTCATTATGCTTGAGCCGGAGAAAGAAATGCGACTCTCAGTCGCATCCAAGGGATATCGAATTGAAGCGTTATAGCTTCTTGCGGACTTCCAATACGGTGGTGAGAAAGGGATCATGGCCAGAGCTTGGCGAATTGTAGCATGCGACTTACTCCGCAGTAGATTTGGGGATGGCGAGAGCTTTCCAACCTAGACTGGGACCCCCGTTTGTTAACCCCATCGTGGATCTTTTGCCGAATTTCTCATGTGGAATAAGGGGACCCGCACCGGCGTGTTCATGGCCATGCATGGTTGACCCTATGCCGGGCAGCAGGACATTAGAAGGGAGCATAACAATGATATATGGGCTTCTTCCCCAGGGCTGAAGACGCATGCTATATTTTGAGTAAGATAAAATGACATGCTGGCACTTGTATTGGGAGAATCCATGGATCCAATGGATATGTTGGGGGGCACGTGATAGGGTAGTCGGAGGAGCCATCAAACCTCCTTTCTCGACCTTACTATGTAGATACGAGTAACTACTCCGTATACAACCTCTACTTCCTCGCCAGATGCCAGATGAACAAAAATGGCTCGGTGTCGCTCTTGTTGTCATTTCTGTCGCCTGGGGAGCTTTTTATAGGCTACTCTGCCGCACTCATGATCGTACATCACCATGATCATTAGTGATGAGAAGCTGTAGTTTTACAAGGAGTCAATAACTATGCTCACTCCCCCACACCCCGGCCCGCAGATTGATCCTCCGTCCCCAACTTTCCGTCTGCAGGGCCCACATAGAATGCTCATCGATGATAATTACCACAAGAAAATATCCTAGACCAAGAAACGTTACTTGCCCTACACCTTATTCGGGGCTCTGCCGCTCCGGCTGTTAGTCGTCTCCCAGTCCTCTGCCCGCTTTTAGTTTATCCAGCCATTTAAGCTCCGGCTCCTGCACAATCGTTCGAAGGCTCATTCGGCTCAAGGGCCAGAACCCCCGGAATGGCGGGCCAAAATCGGAGCTTAGGGATAGAACAATTTGCTTGACTGACTCTCGCCAAACTTCCGAAGCTGACATCGAACCTCGGCCCTCGCTCATCAACTGTGATTTACGTAGCTACTGCCGGTGGCTTGGTCTCCAAAGGTCAGCATCTATGTGCCACTGGGGCTCGCCCAATGCACAGAAATAGTCTGGCAACTCAAAGGTTGAGCGAATAATCGACTCGCACCGTACACGACTGTGGCTCTATAGCACAACCTAGGACTGACTGACTGGGCAGTACTGCTGTTTCTTCTGTGTATAAACGTGCGGACGAGTTGGCGAATGGTCCGTTGACGGATAACGAGATCGTCGGGTTTTCAGGGGTGGGTTCTAACCCTGCAACAGAAGTCGGGCAGGTCACCATTGAACATATTTTAAGCAAGAAGCATAATAGCCAATGGGCTCGTGTGGGTGGCCGTGGTGGAGACTTGGAATCCCCTTTCCTTGCTAGAATTTGAAAAGATATACCTTTTTTTGTCTACTGATGGTATACATGTTGTTTTCTGCACATGCTACTCTTTAGATCTGATTTGTCCCCTCACTCCTTAGCACACCATTTTGCTCTGGTATAAACTGTATATAGGAATTTGGATTTTATTTCATATTAATTTCTCTGTAGGAAGAGTAACAAATACCTTTCCCAGTTCCAGAGTCCAGTTTTTGAGAACTATCCAGGTCTCAAAACCACCCTTTCATTTTGAAGAAACAAAAGCAAAATGATGTAAAACCGAAAGCTAATAAGAAAATCAGTATTTGTCTTTGTATTTTCAATTGTGAAAACATGTTTTCAGAGGATGTATAAAAGGAGTATAAAAGGATTATCTTGTATTGAATTGAACTATCTGGTTAGGAGAAGATCCCCACAGAACAAAGTTTCAAGTTTCAAATGTTGACATTGGTGTAAGTTTTAGAATATAATTGATATAAGATATAGAGATCAAATAACTAGAAATTAGGTTAAATGGGCATGGGTGTCACAAAAATACAACATTTCCGAAACATGATTTCGAGAAGAGGTAGTCAAACCTAGTCTATAATCCTAGAAAGATTTATTTGGAACAATAAGAAGGAGAAACAAAAGTAGAATATGAAATGACATTCATCACATGCAAGGATATATAAGTTGGCCATGGAACATTGAAAATTGACGCGGAAAATTTCACAAGACGTAGACGTGGTTGGCGACATATCGTTGTTAGAGCCTGCTCGTGTGGTCCGTTGAGTCAGGCTCCGGGCTTGGGAGGTCCTCAGTAAACCCAGATACATATCCACGTCTTTGTGAACTTTGTTCCTCGGATATTCGCGCATTGCTGATGGAAAGATTGAATGCAGCACTCGAGAGGGACGAGTTATTTCGGCCATGAGTCGGCTGCGAGGGTGGGAAATTTGGGTTCGGTTGCGGTGATGGCGGCTCCGGAGAAACTGGACTTCTGAAAGTCGAAGCGTCACTAACTCCTCGGGCGCGGGCTGTGGTAGGAACAACATTGTATTCCGTTGGTAGTTCAAGAGGTGCAGGGACATGCCCGGCTAGAGGGTAAGAGATGAATATAAGCAATTCTCGACGAAGAAGAGTGGAAAATTTCTATACATACCTTGCATTTCATGTACCTGGGCCCCACCAGCCTCTTGCGCCTTAGGATCTGAATACACCACTCCCGAAAGTGGAGCCGGAGTTGTCACCGAATCACCCACTTCCGAAAAGGCGGCGGCGGACGTATGTTTGTCGTTAATTCCAATCTCAGTAGAAGCAGTGGTCATATTGGTTTTCTGGGTCGGCAAGCCCATTCCGTACATCCACCCCAAAATCCGTTTCCTATTATCATTGGTAACCCCTTCGCTGCTTGCATACGTCCTGTCCCGTCGTCTGCGCCACAGAAGCCAGAGAACTGCCAGACCCGTTATGAATATCAGGCCCAAAACAACGCCCAACACTGGAGCCACCCATTTTGGAAGCCCGCTGACATTCCCACCACCCTTGCTGTTGTCTTGAGGGGATTTTGTAGTCGTTGGTGCAGAAGAATTATACAGAGGGTAAGGATAATACGTTTTTATGGGTTTTGTATACTTTGTTCCAAATAAGTCTCGTAAATCGTCATGGCCCCATGACACAGGCTCTAAGGTGGTAGCACCACCCTTGGCACTGTCGACAAAATCAGCATTTATCCAAAACAGCAACCACTGTTCATACAGGACTTACTCTCCACCAATCCTCGCCGTCACCAAGTCTGGTACTTCATACTCACCCCATTCTTCTGGGTGGTATGTATTTTGGAATCTCAAAGTATTGAGATTGAAAACACGGATGAAATCTATACGATCGATCTCACTTCGCGATTGGCCACCAAGAACAAACATTTTATCAGGGTATGGTTTAATGCATTTGTGAGAGCGGCGACCCAATTTCCTATCCCCATCATAGACGCTGATCCATTCGAAGGACGGGACCGAAAGAATGTATGCATTGTCGTAAGGATAGTCTGCAGACTCACTACCACTATAGCCTCCGTAAATATAAATGTTGTATGAACTACCGTCCTTCGCCGCAGCCACAACGGAACAAAAGTGGGCCAAGGCTGGTGGATAGTCTCCTGTCGTGTTTTGCAAATACCTAAAAACAAAATATAATGAGCAATGAATGGAGATGGAGATACGGATAAAAGCTAATAGTAAGCTATACCTACCACTTCCGCTTATCAATATTATATACAGGCACGCTGCGCATGAGCTCTGGTCCCGTTCGATTCTATGAGAAGTATTAAGTTAGGGTGTGCCCGGCGGGATATGAACTAACTGCGGGTGTAAACTTGTATTGAGCTTACATTTTCCGTTATGTCACGCATGATGGCATCAGCAGGAGTATCGGAGATGTCTTGAGGGTACGGAACTCCGCCTATCGCAACGAGTGCCCCTGATGTAGAAACGGGAATCCATACCAACTCTCCAGCAGCACGGCCAGGGATAAAGTCTGGAAAACTGGCATTTGACCATTCAGGAGATCTCATTTGAGCCATATCAAGCGAAATTAACTTATCTGAAGTGACATTCGCAGCCGGAGCGGGAAATTTTATTTCTCCCCAATTCGCTCCACGTTTCCCACTGAAATAAAAGCCCTTGTTCTCACTCGGCACGGAGACCCCCGCACCGTGAGTAATATAACGCGTGACGTCGTTGTTAGTATCCTCGAAAAGAAAACCGGGTCGCCACAAGACCCGAGCAGGGCCATACTGGTCTCGTTCATATGCTAGTACTTTGTTTGGAGGGGGGGGACTATTTGTATCGGTGAGAAGAATGAGGCCGCTGTTTCAGTTAGCTACCGAAATCTTTTCTAACCCGAAGCGTGAGCTGTACCCATATAAATAGAATTTGAAATCATTTGCGAACATCGTCCCAGAAAAGAAGGTCGGGGCAATATTGTTGACAGCCCCCGTAGTAACCGACAAATTGCCGAACAACTTTGTCCATTGGGCTTTGGTTGTGTCAAATGGGACAGATAAATTAAGCGTGAAAACGAAGCCCTCTGCAAGATCTACATTGAGGTTAGAACTGGATTGAGGATAGGAAACAGATCGGGTAAGGAATCACTGGTTGATTCGAACTGTCCGTAAGTATTATCCGAGTATCCCCTTCAAAGAAAAGCTCAAGTCAGCATCAAAAAGAAAGCCTTCCACGGTTGATAGGTACTAAATACCGTTGCCAACACATTCGTCCTCCATCGACGTAAATGGTATCACGGATTATATTCGCTAAGTCAGGTATTAACGGAGGACTTGAAAAACAAAATCAAAGACGAATGTCGAGTATCAGGGAGCTAAAACAGTGTTCCTAGGGTTATGTAGACATTTTAACCTCAAACTTACCTCTTAACGAAGACCAAGACACGATGGTCCTATTAACCTCAACTTGGATTTCTTGCGGAGCGGCATCCTTCAGGAGCGAAGCCAAAGCAGCTCCCGCGATTATCCACAGCAGCGCCATGGATATATTGTGAATCAAAGTCTAAGGTGAAAAAAAGGGTATCGAGAAAAGGTCAAAGGCTGGCCAAAGCAATATTTCTCATAGCTCATCCACAAGGATGAATCCTGACGAACAGGAGTATCGGCGATGACCATATATTGAGAGGTCAAATTGTCGGTAAACTCTTGGGCATGTAGAACGAAATAGACTCAAATGTTTCAGACCCGTTTTCTAGTAAAGTCTGGGTGTTCAATATCGCCCTACGCCCTTCACTATCACAAGTGTGATGAGACGAAGTCGAAGCTAGAAATGGGGCGGAAACAGCAGTGGACATAAAAGAGTAGGCGTCCGTTTAGGCGGATAGTTTCTTCTCACAGATTTACCCGTTACTCGTGTTCTGGAAACGTGGGGCAAATGCATATGGAGATTTGAGCTGTACAATACATGGGCAAAAAAAGCTGGTGTGATAGCCACAGCGCAACGGAAGAAGTGGCGGCTCGTCAATAGTACATTCTAAATTTCAGGGCTCTCTCTCTCTCAAAAAAATAAATAAATAAATAAATAAATAAATAAATAATGAAATAAATAAAGAACAAGAAAAAAGAATAAAAATAAATCAATGGAGGGTAGGAAAAGCTAGGAGCTAAGGTATCGATCGCATTTGGACCAGATTCCTTTCAACTAGAGTGCGTGGTCGGTACTCCGTACATGTGGCCCATGCAATTTTTTGGAAACCTGTTAATGTGACCTCGTCAATTGAAAATACATTTGTTCCTACCTAGTTCTCAGAGAGATGGTAGTGTCATTAGTGCTGTTGACACCCTTCTCTTCTCCAAAGTGCCTGCTGGTCAACAATGTTCACTGTCGTCGGTTTAAGAGTGATGTATCTACCTTCAGTATTACCATCCAATATAGGCGAACAACTGTTTGCTCCAATTGAATAAATCACCGACGGCTCGCCGATCCCAGCGATTGCCCTAGTTCACGTCCAATAACGCAGGGTAATTCACACAGACAGGATAGTGCGTGTTCTACGGAGTATAGAGTATAGAGTTCCCGCATCGATGTACAGATTACAGTACATGGGCTTAATTTCCACAAATTTACCCCCGCAGACAAAGAAAGTAATCCTGGTGGTAATTAATGGCTGCAAGGCGACGAATGCGGGTTCCATCTGAACGGGAAATGCGCTTATCGACGACCCAAGGATTTATTTTTGGGAGACTGACGACTGAACAGGAGGCATCAGGAAACGCTCGCTCACATAGCCAGAGGTTGCGTCTCTGGATCCCCGTCGGGCGCTTTGCTGATACAATGCTTTGAATGCCGTCGCCAGTGGCAGAATGCTGGAAGTATCGGGTGGTCGTAGCTCTCCAAACGAAAGGGATACCGGGTAGCATTCCTTACCGCAGAGTGACGGCTATTTGTTGGGCCCACCAGTTTCGAAATTTGGAAGGGATATTTCGATCCCGAGAAAAAAAAGCGACTTTGTGACTTCCAAGGTTACGGTGGCAGGGGCACGGGACAGCAGGCAGATGCGAAGGCTATTGAGGTGTGAGGAGGACAGACGAGACTTGGGCGTGGTCAAGGTGGCTGGCCTGCGGCTTATGTGAAGTTGACAACACACCTGCAGATGATAGGTTGGGCGGGAGGGGGATATGCTTGGACCGTCCCCGAAAGAGGAGTAGATTGCAGCACAGCAAGTCCCTAAACAAACGGCTAAGCCCGAATCGGACCATTCCGACGATGCATCCGTGGATGTATCTGTCTTTCGAAGCAAGAATGGTCAATAATGGTTGGATATCGAAGGTCTTGCCGAGTTAGTCTCCGTTCTCGGGCCGCAACAACTACGGCAGCCTATTAGTGACAAATGTGTCAAATGGGGTTTTTTTTGATGTTTTCCACTGTAATTACTTAATTCCACTTACAGACACTCATTGATAGAAATTTATACTAGAAAGCAATGCATTTTGAATTCTCTAAGTACATTTTAAAACAGTGAATTTATGTCATTGTAGATATCATCGCTAGATATCATTATCAGATATTATCACTAGATATCATCGCGAGATATCATTGCTAGATATTATTGCTAGATATTATCGCGAGATATCATCATTAGATATTATCGCTAGATATTATCGCTAGATACTATCGCTAGATACTATCGCTAGATATTATCGCTAGATATTATCGCTAGATATTATCGCTAGATACTATCGCTAGATACTATCGCTAGATACTATCGCTAGATACTATCGCTAGATACTATCGCTAGATATCACCACAAGATATTAATGATGATACCTTTGTGATGATATCTAGCAATGATAAAAATAGCAATGATATCTCGCGATATCTAGTGATGATATCTAGTGATGATACCTACCTATCTAGTGATGTGGTTCCCCACTATGCTGCGGCTGGCGGCCGCAGTGTAACTACTGGTGGTGGATTCAGTGGCCACGCCCGCTGTGGGCCGGGCCACACCACCACACCCATGGGTATATGCATCACTACGGAGTATGAGCACAACCATTTAACAAATGGTTATGTTGACTTTTCACTATAAATAATCTAGTGATTATAGTGCTATCTTATCACAGTGATGAAATATATTGAAGATGATAGGTGTGTGTACATTGTAACACTAGTATAAAAAACCCATTTGTCACATTTGTCACTATAGACTGCCGTAACTTAGTTACCTATATCCGCTCGGCTCCAACGTCCATCCATCTCCATCCCCGTCCACCTGTCCATTGTCTCTGCCCCTGTCTACAAATCGGTACGTACACTGTACTGCAGAGTACGCAGTCGCCTGCTTAAATTCTTATCCTTCCTTGCTTTCTCCTCGTAAATGGCCAGCAGCCTGTATCAATGCGGATGGTTGAGATACGATCACCATTGTTTGGCATTCCTCTGACTACAGCAATGCGGCCCAGAGAGATTCTGCCTTTTGTTGAGGACGGTCATAGTCATCATCATATACCAGAAGAGCATCAACTTAAGTCTCCAAATCAAAATGAATCCATGGATTATGTCCTAGGACAACCCAGCTCGGAGCGCACAATGTCAACTCGCCAGTGGTTAACCAGCTCCTTCGGCCACGGAGAATCGATGCAAGGCTGAAGAAATCTGGACTATGTGGCTAGATTTACGGCTATTCCCCGCGTCGCGAACGGGCTGTTCTCGACGAGGGACTTTCAGATCGACCTGTATGAGCAATGAACGTTCAACCATCACAGGAAGGGTTACTCCGTATATGTGACTGGCTTTCGAGCGCAATTTTTCAGCCTCAACTCTTCCTTGGCCTTCCGCCTCATCCATCGGTTGTAGCCTTGGACCCGCGGGATTTGATTCGAGTGAGATGTTTAGCTTTGGTGGGGTAAGGACAAAATGATATGCGTTTTCAGCTTCTGAGCGGGAGTTGGGGAACATCCCATCTGTTCGTCGCCACGTCCATCTTTGGTACGCCACGCTGCAACTAAAATAAAGACGCACCTCTGGTTGCAGCTCATCCGTTTTGCTCAATACATGCTTTCCAATAACTTCCCTTCCTGATTGTCTAACTAGACTAAAATTATGTTCCTCGTACTATGTCCTGCATCTTGTGCGGTACCCCCTGTGTGTATATTCATGGTTACATCCGTCATTAAAGTCGCATTTATTCGCGTTCTGTGTCACATTTCCTTTTTGGCAGCAGTTCCTACCATCATTGACAAGTGGCCATTCTCGACAGGGCAGTTATCGCGTCTGACAAGCTTGTCATTTTTAAACGTCCGTGCTGCACAACCAGACACTATTATTATGCTTTGTCAACATGACGGCGAAAACCTGGCTTATCCGTTCAAAGCTTGGCCAGGGTACGGGAGGGGATCATCCTATTGCTTAAGCTTTGGAAACTTAGCCGCCTTGGAGACTACGGATTATCGCCTCTGAGCCTTGCTCTGGCTCAACTCGTCTGGGAGCTGTGCGGTTGTCAGACGATGCGCCTCAAATTTGTTATTCAAAAAAGTAACCCTTCCTCTTTCCTGCCCATGTTGTTTCCACTTCGTGACCTTTTGGTCTCGTTCATTCAAGTAACGGCAAGTTCATTCTTCCCTATTCTTCTCACCGATGAAAGCATAAGAATACTACAACGTCTGCTCTTCTGACCCGACGTCCTCCATTTTTTTTTGGATTCTGTCAATTTGTATAAAATACTTTTGTCTCTGCCCGTTCCGCTGTTTTTCCTCTCGCGGGCAACAGACGGGTCGCCCGTCAAACTTTTATTTCGTACTTAGGCGCTCCCGATAGGTCCTCATCATGACATTGCTCTTGCTTTCTTTGGCCTTGCTCTCCGTGTGTGTACTACCAAGCAAGGCCCAGAATGATGGCGTTGGGGTCAAGGTAGGACTCAATATAGGGGGCGAGCCTTCTCGCGGGAAGTCGGGCCCTCCCGCTTTGATAGACATTGACGCAGCTATACTTATCTCATGGTGCAATGTAAGGATATATTCACTTTGTTGTCGTCCAATATGACTTTGCAGGATTGAATTAATTTGTTGTGTGAAGGATCATCATCCACCAACCTGTCCCTCACCTTATCCGGTTACTGTAACTGTCACTGAGACCAAGGAGCACACCACCACCGTTTCCACAACTACAACTGAAACTACAGTGACTACCATACCTACAACAACAACCGAGACTACTGTCACCACCATGCCTGGATCAACTAGAACGCTTCCTGGATCTACAATTGTGACCACCACAACTGCTCCAGGCGAAACCGAAACTGTAACTCTTCCAGACAGCTGCACTACAGATACGGTGACAATGACTGCTTCTTATGCTGTTTCTCTCTGCCCATCCCGTACTGTTAACCCCACCTTTACGCCTGCCGCTTCCGTTCCCTCCGATTATTTATGGGGCTGCCCCCCAGGCAAGTTATGTATCCCAAACCGCAGCGAAGCCGATGGAGACTGCAACTTCGAGGTTGGGCTTCCTTCACCCGAATTTTACTGTAGCCCAGAGGAATGCCACTCTCCCCCTCCCCTCGAACCTTACCAACACTGGGATCCGTCGAATTCAACACTGGACAAATTTATTGCCTCATCACACTATTACAACCTTAATCCTCGAATATTTGGACTGGATTATGATATCTTCAAGTTCAGGGATTCGACACCGGGGAAGCCATATCCCACGTCCTACACTACTCGATCTCCGACACACTACCCGACACACTATCCAACGCAGTATCCTACTCGATCTCCGACGCGATACCCGACAGACTCCCCAACAGTCTATCCGACAGACTCCCCAACAGTCTATCCGACAGACTATCCGACAGACTATCCGACAGACTATCCGACAGACTATCCGACAGACTATCCGACAGACTATCCGACAGACTATCCGACAGACTATCCGACAGACTATCTGACAGACTATCCGACAAGATATCCGACCAGATACCCAACGAAATATTCAACTCTGCATCAAAGACAACTTCCCGATCAATTGCCTAGTCAGTGCTATGCCTCCTGCGATTATGCCGGCTTGGAGGCGGAACGTCATGGACTTACAGCGGAACTCTGTGTTGGCAATTCGGCATTCATGGCTTTCTTAAATGAATGCCATCGATGCATTGCAATCCAAGCAAGGATAGGCAATCCTAAGGAAGCCTTACGGGAGAATGCTCCTAATTTTAGGTCGATATTGGATTTTTGTGAAACACCGCCAGGTGAAACATCCCCGCCTCCAGCACAAAGTACTACTGGTGGACCCTCGACCTTAACAATGAATCCACCCCCAACCACCCCCACGGAATCTCCGCCAGGATCTCCCTCCGAAACTCCCATACAAACTCCAGTAACCCCTACCGAAGCACCCAATACACTTCCATCAAGTGATTCTTCCAAAACCGCCAGCCCAACCGACGGTGCTTCGACAACCGCTCCACCGACTAAGACTGGGGTTGAGATCACTCCAACTCCCACCACAGGTGGACCAGGTGAAAGCCCTTCGGTATCGAATAGCCCTACACAATCAAGCAGAAGTGGAGGTGAAACGCCACCAACTGACTCCGGTCAAACTGGAGGGAGCCCTACCGATTCTCCCCCGATTGGTTTCCCCGGTACCGCAAATTCTATCCTTGTTCCTTCATCTCAGTACTATATAAGTGCTGCTGCGGCTCTTGCAATAGTAATTGTATTGCTTTAAGACTAAATCTCCCATGCAAGAAGTATTTTATTATGTCTGTTGCTGTTTACTTTTCGTTTTGGCAAGTATATATCCTGGATACATAGTTATGTTCGAAGGAAAGTTAATTGCTCTTTAATTCGCATCTCAGCCTTTGCGGGTTCTTACGATAGTAAACTATATACCTTAATGTTTTATCTTGACTCCTTTGGATTCCTCTCAGTTGATCCCCATACGCTTTAACTTCTACTTGGTTCTTCTCCCCCAGGTTGTTGGGCACGGGAAACCCTTTCGATGCAGACCTCCAAATTCCAACTTCACTGTTTTCTCTGGAGCATCCTCAAATTCCTTGAAAGCTATGCCGAATATACGCCAATCCCAGATACATGTCCACCTTATCCTTTGAACTAACTTTGGGTGCTGGGATAATGAAACGTCCCGCAAGTTGCAGTTCTATCCTTGACTCCGAATATTTATCCCACACAATATTAATACGACTAGTTCAAACTAATTGAGATCTTCGTACATGTATTTGTTCTTATATGTTCCTTGCAACATCATCGAACATATACTCTTGTAATACACTTTCAGTTGGTGATTCAAAAAACGTTTAATTCTATTTAGCGTAGTGTCGTCCGCTTGTGCTAATTTATGCGAAATTATCAGAAGGTATTCGGCTCACTGCCTATGGATCACTCTGCTCGGTCAACACTCAATGCTAAAGAGCAAAATATTCCCAGAATGAGTACTGACTTTCACATTGATAGAAATAGTGTCACACGAACATATATTCAAGGCCCCTGGTGATAGTTTTGTTTAATATTTCAAAACTTCAGTTTCATAAACTCTTCTGAACTTGACGTTATAAATGAGTTCCATGATTCTAGCAGTCTCAGATCATCTCGCAATGTATATATATATATATATATATATCTATTAACTCACCCAAGGCGTAGATTTGTGGAACTTGTTATAATTGTCTTTATTGGGTTGTCTCATGATAGGGATTGATATTATACACGCCCAGGAGCTGCTAATATTTAAAAAGCTTAGTGATAACATTGCATTACATGCCAAACAACTAGTGTTCAAATACAGCAACAGACTTCTGAAATCTGTAGGAGAGATGATTCTGTCACTGCTGATAGCTAGATTATCTACTGATATATGAACTATATGATACTCTGACTATATATACATCATTGCAAGATTACAATCTATCTAACATTGCTGCTAGAACTGGAGTTGTTGAATTCTTGTAGTCTAAGATTCATATTTATCTAAAACATATCAATTTAATCATAATTGTGAGGGCGTAGGCCTAGTAAATAATGTGACGAGCTATAGCGTAGGGAGGAGAAACAATAATATTGAGTATATCTAGGAAACAATCTAGCTGACCACTGGAGCACCTCAGGATTTCGGGGGAATACCTCAGCATATACAGATCTGTATACCTGTGCTGTTCAGGGGTAGACGCGCGTTAAGAGGAGAGCTTAGACGCCACAAATGAGGACTAGTCTAGCGGCTATTCGCAGTCGGGCATGTGGCGGTACAGTGACCAAGAAGGTGGCATGGCCGGGAAAGTGGTGAAGTACGTTATTCCACGTACCTAGGTACATATCCGTTTCGCACCAAATAAAGGGATATGCTCTGTTCGGCATATTATGTAGGCCAGCGAACCAGAATATTAAAACACCGATTAAGTGCTAGCAACTACCCTGGACATAAGTACGAACATGAATAATTACAATGGGCTCGGCATGAAAAATGTTCAGACAACTTAAAAATCGTACGATTAAATATACATGTACCGGCAGCACAAAGGTTATCAAAACCCAGTTTTCCCCGGCTACCTGTGCTTGGCTTGAGTCCCCTTTACCTCTATTTGTAACAGACCCAATGCGTCCGAATATTTCTTTTTAAGATGGGAATTTTTTTCATCAAGTTTGACGATGACTCTTTCGACAGTGCCGACTCTCGAAACGCCATATTTACCGCATTTTACGACCTCGTTGGCAAACCACCTCCCTTCACTATGGGCAACCAGTGTCCAGGCCGACCCTGATCGGCCAGCACGAGCTGTTCGGCCGACGCGATGAATATATGATGTTAGGCTGGTGGGAATGTCATAACTCACGACATGTGTGAGAGAAGGAAGATCCAAACCACGAGATGCACGGTCAGTAGCGATGACAATTGATAATTTGCCGTTGCGGAATGCAGATAGTGTTTTCCGCGAGGTACTGGACTTGTTGGACTTTGTCAGGGTTCCGATACGGTTGGCAAATGGCGGGTGCATGAGTGAGAGAAGACGAGCTAGTCTTGATGCTGATTCGGAAGACCTGGCAAAGATCAACACAGAAGACACGGACGCAGATGCCGCCATTGGTTTAAAGTTGTGGACGTCGGCTGCTGATTGTTCTGACGAATCGGTATCAGAGGGATTATGTGATGCTGTTGACGACGCATCAAGCAAACTATCCTCCAGTGCCTTTGAAGCTGAGCTGGTGGAATTTGAGTCCGATGTGATCGAATGAGAACGAGATCGCGGAAGGCTCGCAGAATTGGCCCCACCCAGCTTAAAATGTGAAAGTAAAAGAGTAAGGAGATAAAGTGGCTTCTCTGCAGCATCACCGACTGGAACAAACATTTCACGCAAGGTTGAAGGTAGACTAAATTTATGGTCATCCTTTTTGATGATATCTCCATGCGCTTCTGAAGTGATCTTTGCAACGTTACTAATTCTAGGATCATCGGAAACTACAAGTTTGGGATTTCTCAATCGCAAAGCCTGAAGTTTCGAGATATCTCTTGTCATGGTCGCGCTGAGGATTATCTTTTGAAGTCTAGGTTTGCATGTCTTCCATCCCAGCTCCTGCAAAACCCCCCCACTTTTAGCATTGACATCGATTCTGTTTCTGTCTAAAGCTGGGATCACAACCTCGACCCATTCTTGAAAACTTTCGTTCAGTAGGCGGTCGGCTTCATCAATCACTAACCACTCTAAATGTCCCAATGTGAATCCTTTAGTAGACTTGATATGCTGAACAAGTCGGCCTGGAGTACATATTAAGATGTCAACGCTGGGTGACGGGATTGCAACATGGTTGGGAAACGCCGAAGGAGAGTTCTCGGCTTCGGAAATATACTCCTGAATGTTGAACGACGTCCAGGCATCAGCGCTCATCTGCTGAATGTTCTTTATTTGATCAGTTCTGGGAGAGTAGAATTGTTCGTGTTTAATGAGGGACGCCTGTTCTTCGTTTAGCGATGCCGTACCGACAGCTGTTCCTATCCTGAGGCCCGTCCCGGTAGCACAGAGTTCGCAAGCTTCTCGAGCTTGCCAAACGAGCTCTCGTGTAGGCACAACAACCAGTCCTCGCAATCTAGGATAGGATGAGTGTTCAATACCCGCTACCAGCGGGAGAGCGTATGCCAGAGTTTTCCCGGAACCTGTGGTAGCCGATATACAAAGATCCCCCGAATGCCTATGTTTACCGGTACCAAGTAATTCTAAAACGGCTGCCTGGATGGGAAAGGCTTCAGTATATCCGCGCCTCTCAAGAACGGAAACAAGGGTTTTGTTCACTCCTAGGTTTGAGAAATTTCGTTCGGACAGGGTGGCGGCAGCGAAAGGTTGAGTAAGCCAAGCAGGAAGCGTCGAGTATGTCGGCGACTCGATATCGAGTGGCGAAGAGGCAGGCTGTGGGAGTGGTTCAAGCCCATGGGGAGTTATGTTTTCAGTGCCTCTGTCACCGATCATGTTTGATTGGCTTTTCTTGGGAGCTGCTGATGTCGACTTTAATGTCGACTTCTCGAATTTTGACAAGACCCCGGCATGTTTTTCTGGAGCAATTTTAGTCCATACATCATCATCTTTCCGATCCAACTTCCCTGACAGCTCCGACCTATGACTTAAATCCGTAGACACTTTAGGTGCGCTGTAAGGCGTTGACGCTCTATGGTTGCCTTGTTTAAGGTCCTTGTTTTCCTGCCCTCCCATGAGTGAATTAATCTGAACATGTTCTTGCCCCTCCGCTGCGGGCGAAATATTACTTTCTGCTTTCGAATAGGAATGCGAATATGTGTCCTGCCGTCTAGCTGCTGCCAGGTGAGATTGTGGGTCCGCGCCAGAAGCCTCCGGATTTTCGTCCCTTTCATGCTTCCTGGCCTTCTTGGATGGAATGGATGGCGGAATTGGCGCATCGTAGGCGGGGTCATGTTTTCTCTTCCGCTTTTCAAACGCAGCCGGAGACGCCAAGGTTTTGGAATGGCTAGGTGCGGAATCGTCCCTTGGAGGAATGTATCTAAGGTGAAATGAGGCAGCCATAATATCGGGTCATGCTTGATGAAGATTTGCTGAAAGACACCTGAGATTGGAACTTTCTTGAAATTGGCAGAAAAAAGCTCACCGCCTCCAACGCATCATCTTCGTTTCATTCATCGTCAATTTTTGTAAACTAGGGGAATACTCTGGAAACTATGAGTGTCCTAAACACATTGCGGGGGAGAATACTATCGTCGTCAAAATGCCGTATAATATTGCGTAAGCTATTCACTTCCCAATATCCCCATAAACCCCCCAAGGACGAAGTAATTAACAGTCTCAGTATGATTAGTGACTTTTTTTTCCCCCAACCTGGTACGTTTTATGAGTGGATATTTATATTGGGAACATGCAACGCATGGCTAACAATGTCTAGGAGGAGTGGAAAGTCACATATACCAACTTTCATCCGTCAGTACAGCTTAAAAATGCTCTCTCGTGGCGAGGTGTTAACTTGCACTATAGAAATTAATAGATAGGGGCCATAAAGTTATCATCGTCACTCATGCCTATAAGGGCCGGACCGGAGTGCGATATCTCAGTAATGGACTCAAGGTCTATTATGTGCCATTTTTTGTCATTTACCGCGAATCGACTATGCCTACGGTCTTCTCCTTCTTCCCCATTTTTCGTAACATAATAATACGCGAACAGATTGCGATTGTGCACGGACATCAAAGTCTGAGCAGTTTTTGCCATGAAGCCATTCTACATGCGCGCACTATGGGTTTGCGCACAGTTTTTACAGATCACTCGCTGTTTGGTTTCGCAGACGCGGGTTCAATCCTTACGAACAAACTCCTGAAATTTACCCTGAGTGATGTTGACCATGTTATTTGCGTCAGCCATACCTGGTAAGCTTTAAATAGCTTTGGGGGCGAGTCAGAAGTCACGACTGTGCTGATTGCCATTATGTAGCAAGGAGAACACAGTCCTTCGCGCTTCTCTCGATCCTCTGATGGTGTCAGTTATTCCTAACGCCGTTGTGGCCGAGAATTTTCGCCCCTTGTCGTACAGCGCCGATGAAAATAACAAAACGCCTGTGCCACGTGCCTTGTTGGGCCCGGATGATATTATCACAATTGTTGTTATATCACGACTTTTTTATAACAAGGGAACAGATCTCCTAATTGCGGCGATACCAAGAATCTTAGCTTCTCACCCGAATGTACGCTTCATTATTGCAGGCTCAGGGCCCAAGGCTATTGACCTAGAGCAAATGCTAGAACGTAAAGTTCTACAAGACAAAGTGGAATTCCTCGGAGCGGTTCGACATGAGGAAGTCCGCAATGTGATGGTGCGGGGACATATCTATCTTCATCCGAGTTTGACTGAAGCATTCGGAACGGTGATTGTAGAAGCCGCTAGTTGTGGACTATACGTCGTTTGTACCCGTGTCGGGGGCATTCCAGAAGTCTTGCCACAGCACATGACAACATTTGCAAAACCTGAGGAAGATGATCTTGTTCAGGCGACCGGCAAGGCAATTGCAGCCCTTCGCTCGAACAGAGTCTGCACTGACAAGTTTCATGAACAAGTACGCATGATGTATTCGTGGACGGATGTCGCCCGACGAACAGAGCGTGTTTACAATGGAATATGTGGTGCCATAAGCGAAGAAGAGTTTTACGGCTACTTTCCTGGACAAGGTTGGACTGCAACCAGGGGCCGCATCAATAGCTTCGCTCTCATCGATCGACTAAAACGCTACTACGGCTGTGGCATATGGGCTGGGAAATTGTTTTGTCTTTGCGTTGTCATAGACTTCTTGCTCTATGTTTTCCTTGAAATATGGTTCCCCCGTAGCAGCATTGATATTGCGAGAAGCTGGCCAAGGAAACCGACTGTAGGAAGCAGGGAGTCCCATGAAGTCGATTCCTCTAATCACCGAGAATCGAAGCGCAGCACCACACGACCGAGTGTGATATACTAATTCAGTTGGTATGGCCGCATGAAAATACTCACATTTTCGAAGCTAGCCTGATGCACATCCCTACACACCGAAATCGTGGCTAGCCTACTCATTTTGGGATCCAGCGTCTATTTGGTGGTATTCCAGGATTGGATCTATACGAAACTATTCGTTTCTGAACGCCTAAACTCCACTTTTCGAGCGCCGGCGTTAGGATTCAAACAACGTTTTTGGTGTGGCGGCTTCAGGAATGGTAAGCGCCCACGACTACTTGCAATATTGTCAAGAAGGCTTTTCTTAGCTAAGGCAGAGAAGGTTACTTTTACTGAAGAGGAATCTTGAGTGGTTTTGAATGCATTCTGGGAGCAAGGAATGATGTACACAATTCAATTAGAGGAGCACCTAGCACTAATTTTATAACAATTTTTTTTCCAGGATCAGCAGCACAAAACCTATTGGTGAATGCCAACGCGGTTGAATTAACGCACACCCGGTAAAACCAGATAAAAATTGGGTATATGGCTATATTCCAATGGGAAACGGGTAGAATATCACGGCTATCTATTTTTTATCTCATCACAGGAGGTCTGCTTTCCTTGTTCCATTTCACCCTGCTGCGAACCCATTCCACTGCTTCCCTCACCCCGCTCCCCATCAGCGCACTGACGGGCAACACTCGACTATCTCGCACACCACCCCCTTCCTCACCCTCAAACACCTTTCTCACAAAACCTTCCTTGATCCTCACTACCTCCACGCAATCTTCTCTATCCTGCTTATTCGCGAGCACAAGGATGGGCACACCGATCGTCTCCGCATGCTGCAATACGGACTCAAGGACCTGGCGACACTCATCCAATCTCCCAAATTCACCCTGGGGATCTATGGCGTTCATGGGTTCGGTAATAGCACCTGAAAGTCCCTTGGCGTTCGATGGCGCATTTGGCCCTCCTTTATGTCCACTCTGAGCAAGGCGCGAAACGTCCGCGTCTTCGCCTACATCTGCACTATCGACCACAAAAATAATGGCATGACAGCTCGAATAGTAGCTTTGCCAGAGGCCACGCATTGATATCTGTCCTCCTATATCCCATATTTTCAAGTACATGTCTGGAAGCGGAATAGTTGCGACATTTTGGCCGACGGTTGGGACGGTTTTGCCAGGGAGGGGCTGCGTCGCGGTGTTGTTTGGGTCTGTGGGGAGGAAGAGAGCTTTTATCTGGTTTAGCAAAGTGGTTTTGCCTGCATTATCCAGACCAAGGAGCAGGACGGAGTATTCTATATTGTTGCGAAGTCAATAGTGATTTTGGGTATTGGCGATGGCAAATTGGTTACATGGGGGATCTAAGGGGTGGAGGTAGTTGAAGTATGATATCGTGGGCAAGACATACCCTCTTTACTCGTAGCATAGAAATAAATCGATTTGGCAAGATGGTACATGGTCTTTAGATTAGGATGCCAACACCCGATGGGCACAGGCCTATTGCCGTCACCAACTCGATGCGACAACGTCAAATCCCCACCCACGTCTAACAGCGTTACAGGGTTGCGACAGTAACTAAATCATGACTTAAGGGGAAGGAATATGAGCATTCTAGATACCGGTGGCCGTATATGTCATGCTGAATTTCTCGCGCACGCCTGAACATTGGTTCATCTTTTCGGCCGGAAAAACTTTCGGCATGATTCAAGCTTCCAGCCACCTCAAATATCTTCTCAGCCAATCATCTGTAAAACATGAAATCTTGACTATAGATATACATATATATATTATATGCACATATAGGAGGACTTTACCAACCACGCCAAAAGGATCAATCCTCCTCAAGAGAGATATATATATGCATGATTCACATATATCACGTACTCCGTACATGTACTCAGTATTGCATGTAGCCCTGGCAAGGGTGTGTACCCTCGACTGTCAAGAAAGCGGTCGGCCCGGAAAACAACGGGACAAGCGCTCGTACGAAGTCGTGGAAAAATAGTCCGTGTGTACACCTGCTAATTGGGACAGGATGGAATGAGATGGTGTGAGAGTATACACCGTAGTCTTTTGATCATTGCGTATTTTCCCAATCTTATGCCATATATCCGTGGTTCCCCCACAATCATGGATGGCTCAATGACATCAGAATAACCGTCTCCAGACCAGCAAAGATTCATTTGAACAACCTCGGCAGCGGTTCCGATTTGTCAGCCCCCTCAATTGCTCATCAGTTAACTAATTTAAAAAAAAAAAAAAAAAAAAAAAAAAAAAAAAAAAAAAAAAAAAAAAAAAATAAGAAAATGGGGTTCTCAGTGTTTTTTGTAACGGCGTAGATAGTTTGGTTGTCGCTCTCTACATTTCAAAAAAAATTTCATTCCGCCCCACCGTCCACCTTCGTCTTTATATTTGACTGATCGTTTGGAATGCCATTTCGCAACTCACTTTCGCCTATTATAGAATAAGCCGCTGTTTATATGCTCTTACTTGCACTCCCGATGCGAAGGACAGTGGGGTGGTAGGTGGGAGTTGCTGTTGATATCTCTTGCGAGGCGTTGAGCTGCATCATCAACCACTACCCCTCCACATAATGCCGCATGACCCAGTAGCCGTCCATGGCAGAAACACTGAATGTTCCCAAGTCAGTTGATACCGTCATCGTTGGTAGGTGGGCATTTTATTCTCCTCGCTCCTCACGTTCCCCGCGCATGTCTAAAATACCACTAATCGATATAAATTTACTCCATGACTCGATGCAGGAAATGGACCCTCGGCCATGATACTGTCATATATCCTCCACGGCCATATTCCATTTTACAACCCGGAGAAGCCCCATCCGGATCCGTTACTCCATTCAAAGCTAAAGCACAACCCGCAGCTGCTCCACCTAGACATTGACCATTTGACAAGCCATTTCGGTGCATCTCGATTCCCGTATTCCACCCAAGCTCTTCCAGTCAACGCTCTTCTTGATGCTTTGATTCGTCCAAATGGAGACGACGATGATGGAACAGAATCGAGCGTCCAGTGGCGCTATATGCCAGAAATGGCCGCTTCGCATCTTGTTCTTGGGCATGCAAATCAGCCGGGAGGCCAATGGGCGGAGTGCCCCGAAGGGACAACCCCAAACATCCAAACATTGAGTTACGCTGGTATGCTCTCACTCCCTGGATACAGTTTCGCTGAGCACCATCGACATGTCCACGACTCTCCTTTGCCGCCGTACACAAGACCATCAAGAGAAGCGTTGGCGGAATATCTCGCAGCTTATCCCACATCTGTTGGGATATCCAAATCAATTCTATGCAACCAGGAGGTCAGCAGGGTTGATCGCACTGAGAATGGTTTCTATATCGGCTCACATAATATAACCTGCAAGAAGCTGATCTTGGCATCGGGGGTTTTCACCGAACGTATTCCTCCGAGACCTCTGTTGTTGCCATTGTTAAAATTACCACCGCTGACATCGACGCAACCGCGACGTGCCCCTCTCTTAGTCATTGGGTCTGGATTTTCCGCAGCCGATGTCATTATTTCTTCTCATCCAGACCAACAGATAATCCACATTTTCAAATGGGAACTTGAAACCAATCCGTCGCCTCTGAAGAGTTGCCACCAGCAAGAATACCCCGAATATGCTGCTATTTATCGTCTTATGAAACAAGCATCCGCCCAATTAACTCAGAAGAACGGGGCAAGGCGCCCAAGGCAGGCACGTGGACTTTCGAACCCCTTCCTCGACAGTAGAAATTGGCAGGTTAACTACGAAGGTAGTCCCAACGCTGTTATCACGGATGTTCTGTTGGACAATGGAAGCGCCCTAGTCACATTCCGTCGAGAGGATGGGATAACACTTTCTCGCGAAGTAAGTGGACTAGCATATATGGTTGGCCGAAGGAGTAGTTTGAAGTACCTGAGCAAACGACTACGAGCTGAAATTTTCGGCAACGACATGACAACAAACGCATGGGTTTCTAGAAAGACAATGCGCGCTCGGGCCTTGCATGGTTTACAAGTCACGAAAGATATATTTGTAGTTGGAAGTTTGACTGGCGATTCGTTGATCAGATTCGCTTGCGGTGGTTGTATTTACGCTGCTGGAAAGCTCATCGAAGCAGAACTCAATAAAAAGAGTGGATCTGTTGAAGAAAAGCTTGGTTCTAGAACTCAAAGAAGCAAGGACTTCGACCCCAAAAGCGCATTTATAAACGGTATACTGGAGCATAGTCATGCCACCATAAAGATCGAGAACGAATTAGAGAGGAATCTTGACACAGGGCAGGAAACGTACGTCCGCTCCGATTCGATTGCAAATCCACTCAAAGGTTGGTGGGAATACCTATTTTCATTTTTTACCGGTTAGACTGTTTGTCGTTGCCGATGATATTCCGGTCTGTATTTTTATTAAAGATAGATATCTACCTGAGCATTATAGACGCCTGGCTTATGAAAAATAAAAGTCATCCCCGTGTCGAGAATTAAATAGCATAGCATCAGCCCATGAGCTGAAGCTGGTCATCTGGAGGCCAGCGGACCTGAGCAAACGTCAGGCATCTCTTAATACTCTGTAGGAATTTCCGTGTAATTTCGTCGCTCATAATGTGCGCTTGGCTCTTATCGCTTTGATGAAGCTTCTCTCGCGCAGACCTTTCATGGATACCAACCATAGTAACTCCGATTGGCCAGGCACTAAAACAATCAAGTCAGCAAAGGCAACTCGAATAGTATGGGTCTATCAACATTTAGGAAGTTGTAAAATTGGAAAATCGAGAAAAATGCGTTTCACTTACGCTTTTCCAATACTAAGTCGGAGATAGCCGTCGTTCGCGTCAACATAACGTCTGTCCTGCGCGCTTCGTACAATCTCCACCACTGGCTCAAGTATACTCTCTTCTAAATCACCATTCTCAAACCTCCTAAACAAGGGGCGAATATTCTCCCTGGACTGCACCATGGCATTATAAGCCTGTTTCCCTTGGTAGCTGTTTTTTACATCGTCATCTCTCTTCGACAATGCGATTTCCCATTCCTTGAAGATCATTGTAAAGTAAGATGCCAGTTGTCGGAAGAGAAATCTACGACCTTCCTCATCTGTGGGCAACTTAGGGGGGACTCTCATTTCAGTTTCGGGGACAAGAACAAGGGTTGTCGCGATTGGCCTTTCAAGCATTTGTTGCTGTGGGGTTAGGGATCGCTGCAAAAGCCGTCGATACCGCTTTACACGACCCCTATGGCTTTCTCCAAAGAGTATCGCTGGCTCTCCCGCAGCCCTCAGCTTGTCAATCACCTCATCCTCACCGAGGTCTTCTTCATCGTCGACCAGGGGAGAACCCTGCGTCGAGTCATTTGGCCTTCCCGCAAGAATATCGGGAAGACCAAGTCTCTTCCTCCTTTCTCTCTCTTTAGCCACTGCTTCGGCTTCTTTTTTTCGCCTTGATTCCTCTGCCAGCTGTCTTCTCTTCTCGTCCCTTGCCCGATTGCGTTCGGACTGTTCCTGCTCAAACTTACGTTTCCGCTCCGCACGTTGCTCGCGTTCTTTGCGCAGTTCCTCTTGCTCCGCATGGTATGCTGCCAACCTGGCCGCCTCGGTGTCTGATCGCTTCACATATGGCTTCTTAGAGTCGGAAGTGGCTGTGGAAATTTCGGGCGCCTTTGCCTTGGAAATTTCCTTTGCCATTAGCGAGGCGAAATCCATGGCGAGTTAGTGGTCGAAATCTGGATAACGCAGAGGTAATACGAGATAAAGTGATTGCAACGCAAACAACAGGTTATATCAGTGAACGTTTGTTGTTCACTTTCTGGTGGGTGAGGAGAGAAGAAATTGTGCCGAGATTCCAGACTTGTAAGCTTCTTCCCCTGACTTATTTAGCGCCACTTGAGCCACCCTACCGAAGAAGCTCGATACCTGGTGCCGCAGCATCCATTCTCCATCACCGTTTCTACTATCACCATCGCTCGGATCGTTCGTAAGAGGGGTTGAATTTGTGGAAATCTACACCTCGTTGGTGAAATTCGTCGTACACTCGTACAGCGACATTGTCCACCCCACTCAACCTCGCGCATACAACACATGTGCACTCTCCACCGCCACGATGTTGGACGATAAGTCTGATGCGCCTCCTAAGATTGACCGCCAGACAACAACACCGTTTCATCTGAAGCTGTTTTATAAACAACATTCCTTCCATAATCTCTCGGATTTCCCGATCCCTTTCCCTCCATCCACACGAAACGCAACCACAACCAACCACCCTCCTACGCTGCCTCCGCACCTTCAAATTTACACCTGGCCGTCTTGTTCTCTACGCGAACTTGCTCAGCTTTTAACGTCATGTCTTCCTTCGATTCTTCCAGATCCTGCTATTGGAACCCGCTTGAGCTTCCGGCTCATATACCCAGATACAAGAAATCAGGGAATTGTGGGTGAGGGGTTGGGGAGGTATCTGAGTCGAGATATGGGCAGTGTCATTGTCGGACAAAGTCCGGTTGCAGAAAGACGGGAAAAGACTCTTCCAGTAAACGGGGCATTGAAGCTTCAAGGCGAGGAAGCGGATAAATGCTTACAAGATTTCCGCTTCGTGATTGGTGACTATGTCGATTGTGCAGTTCTCCCTCCTTTGGCCGATGGCTCTACTGCACCCGCTATCATGAACAGGGTAGTAACGGGAAGTTCGGCAATTGGCGGAGGGATGAGGGCATTTGGAAATGGGCCGTCTTCCTTAAGGGAAACTGCGTTTGGCAAGTCAAGGGCCGGTGGATCGCTGCGTAGTGGAGGATTCCCCCCAACTGGCCCAGCTGGAGTTCCTCCGGGGGAATGGAGAAGAGGGGAGAGGATCCCCGAAGTAGGAGGGCGTGGCTTCGCTCGGGGCCATGCAAAGAATCGTGGAAAGCCGTATTGAATTTGATATTCAATTTGCTACGTGGTTAGAACTCACCTCCGTTGAGTTTCGTCGTCTTCGAGAAGGGAAACACCGAATCGTCGTTTTAACCCTATGTAAATGGACTTTCACATTTTCCATCCTTTCTTTGTTGTTGTTGATTCCTCTCTATTTGTTTGCGAATTTGAGATGTCTTTTTTTTTTTTTTTTTTTGTTCTACTTTAACTACTGTTTGTATTTCCACTCCTATGGACGCCACAGTTTACAGAATAGATGAAGGTTGACGAATACAGATATCCTCATGACATTAACCCATCCAGTTTGGTTTTGATATACATTTGTAGCTTAAAATATGGCCAAAAACTAGGGTTCTCCCAATTATGGGAGGGCAAATATTCCTGCTCCATGAAGAGGTAAGAGGAAATATACCAGCAACCGATTTGTCAATAGGAGTAGTCGAGTTTCTCTCCCTGACAATCCATTTTGCATCCCACCTAGTTACAGAAACAACTTGTATCACTCCACTATCGTATCCCCTCTTCTCTTGCCTCTGAATTCGAGCTTTCCCTAGAAGTTGTGAAAGTTATCGATCCAGATCAGCTTTGGTTCAATCCACTCGCTTCAAAACACGTGCCAGAACGATGGAGAAGGTGCAATTGACTGCCAATTGAGGAGGGACTCTGCACACTTACATCAGTTTTGTACCCGACGTAAGCCAAAACTCCAGGCACGAGCGCCATATAGCAAAATGAAATCCAGACTGTCCGCGGGGTCCAGCGGAAGTATTTATATCGGTTGACATTCAGGTCTACTCGAGTCAGTAGGATAAGTAAGAGGTATCTCATAGGGAGGATATCCAATAAGAAGGAAATGAAGCCATACCATAGTATTTCTGAAGGGCCGGATCAAGAGTCAAATCTGCGAGAACACTGTCAGAAATTGACCAAAGCCGATAGGAGAAGTCCATAGGGAGGAGGGGGGGGGGGGGGCGG